GTACTTGTCAGAAATAGGGAATTTACTTTTCTGTTGCCCTTTATACATTCTCATTCCTAAAACTCCACTGATTTCTAGCACTGGTTCATTGGTTAGATTTTAAAATTTTCTTCTACAGCACTGAGAATTAACAGAGCTCTAATGAAAATTTATGAAATTGTGATTTCCCTCCTAGACCTATACAAAATAAACAGCATGAAAAGAATTTTTAGCTAATGTGAATATTTATGGAGCAATGAAATTGTCACAGATTGATCATGCTAAATAAACAAATAAACAGAATTAATACTGAGAGTTAACCAAGAAATATAATGCCTTTAAGAGATCAAGACACATTAGAATGAATTATGTACGCAGTGTCACATCGTTTTCCTCTCAACTGACCTATCCTTTAAATATCTAATACAAACCTTCAAGGCCCAGGGATGAATTTTCTCTCTCAAGCTCTGTCAAGCTTCTATGCAGAAGCTGGAAACTAAGAATATCTTTGGCTCATACTAGACTCCTTTTTAAGGGAAATGAACATGTATAATCCAATTGGTTCTATTAACTTTATGAAGGCCCAGAGTTTTTATCATTAAGTTCATTGCTGCAGATTAGATATGCATAATGATCACATTCATCATATGGAACTTGTACTGGTACATGAAATACCTCGATTCTTATTTTTCCCCATTCCCCTCCCCTCCCTTTTACCTCTCTTCTCCAAAGGAAGAAAAAATGAGAAAATAAAGATAAAATGGAAGCACTATATGTACATCTCTGTCTCACAGGAAAGGAAACTAGAAGCTAGATAAAACTAAGACTGACAACAGCCAGTGAGTTAGTGAATAAAAGCACCCTCTGCCCCCTCATCTTTCAGATGAGTCTTGCAGAAGATAAATGCCTTAACTATTCTCTGCCTCACTTTTATACTATGCACTATTATAGCAGCACAAATGCCTCACAGTCTGGTAAGTTTTCTCTTTAGCTGTCACACAGAGGTCCCATCCCTGGGGTGGTCTTTCTATTGCCCAGATACTGTGAGATTTGACTGCAAAATACCTACATCTGCCCCCATCAAGAGACTTGCCCTTGGCCAACAAAAGGGACTCATCTCCACACTGCTACTAATGACAAATTGAGTATAGGTTTTAAAATATGTATGTGGGTGTTAGAGTCGATGTGAGTGTAAAATGTGAGTACTGGAGGCTGGGAGGTTTGCAGGCATCAGTAGAGGAAGGATGTGTAACGTGTACCATGACACAGACAGAAACACTAAACTCCAGTGTTCTGCACAACACAGGGGAATGACTGTGATTCACAATACCCTGTTATGTATTTTAAGAATAACCAGAAAAGAGAAACTCAAAAGTTCAACTGCAAAGTAATGATAGAAAGGTGGCAATGTGAATTACCCTATGTCACATTATGTATACTTACTATGGTTTAATCTGGGGGGAAATATTAAGTATACTGATTTAATAACTAAATATTGTATACATATACTGGATTTCCATACTGGACCCCTTAAATTTGTACAATAGAATAATTTTTAAAGGCTTTCAGGAGGAGTCCCCATTCTAATGGGGGATACATTGTGTCAACTTGAGAAGTTTAGAAGCTTAACTAAGTAATTAAGCAGTTCCTCATCCTAAGGTATAAAAGACATATCCTGGGGTGTCTGTTTACGCTCTAGGATGTTGTAATGGTTCATACACTGTGCCAACTTGAGAAGTTTAGAAGGTTAACTAAGTGACTCAGCAGGGGACCGGGGTCCTCACTTTGTAAACATCCCTAGCCTGTGCAAGAGGAGGGCACAAAGATGGTGTGAGTGCTACACCTGCCCCAGGACAGATAACTCACATGATATAAAGGAGGACAAGAGGCTTTGCTCTCCCCCCTTTTTGGCCCTTGTTGCTTTTGCTGTCTTCCAGCTGCCTTGAACTGTTGCCCCTATGCTATGCCACCCTGCCTTGGAGCCAGCTGATTACAGACTGAAACCTCCACAAACGGAGCTAAATAAACCTTTCCTTCTTTAATTTAGGGTGTTGGGTATTTTGTCTCAGCAATGAGAGAAAAGTAACTGAGACACCTACTTTGGTCACAGGCTACATACTTCACCTGAGACAGCATTCTTCCTTAGAGCTTTGCCATTCCTTCTGATTCACTGCCTACCTTATGTCTTTTTCTGAAGGTCACTTGCACAGCAAACTGTAGGCAATCCAATCCTGTGACACAAATCCTACTGTTTGTATACGTGCTTGTGGACGTATACCTGTGTGAATGTATGTAACGAATGACTCACAAACAAGAATAAGACGTTTCAGTTACTCACAATGCCCGTATTTTGTTCATGCAACTAGGTAAATGAGTGATAAAAAGGGATTAAGGGAACTAACCATAGGGAAATAGGAAGCTAGATAACAATGCAATTAAATGAACACAGACGATCCTTTTCCTGTAAATTAACATCATTAAATTAAACTAGTGCTTTAAAGGATAATTTAGCAAAGCCACAACTCACTTGGAACCCTACTAGCCATTCTTGGGTACATACTTAAATTAATGCTAATTTTAAAGTGCACTGCTTCAGCAATATTCAGTGTACATACAGTATGCATTTAAATCATTGAAGCAAAGCTATGAAACACAAATCCATATTTTAGAGAAGAAAAAACTGCAGCGCATTGAAGATTTTGCATACTTGATGTATTCCAAAAACTGTACTCTTAGTCAGAAAACCACAGCTCACTGGTAACTGAAATGTAGAAATCATAGGAAGCAAGGCCGTGAGAGGTTAGCTTTGATACAGGGATCCCAGTTACCCTTGCAGTAACTCATCAGCTTTTGGTGGTGAGCAAAAAAGGTCAAAAAGGCACTATCTAGATGCTACTGTGTGTCAAAAATACAGTTCATTTGTTCTTGTTATAGATATACTGGTTAAATTATAGCAGCCAAAGCCCAGGATTATAAGAATATTTCCCTCTGTCTCCATCTCCATCTCCGTCTCCATGTCTCTGTCTCTTTTTCCCTTTCTCTCTTTCTCTCTTTGTCTCTGTCTCTATCTCTATCTGTCTCTGTCTCTGGCTCCATCTCCATGTCTGTGTCTCTTTCCCTCTTTCTTTCTTTCTTTCTCTCTTTCTCTCTTTGTCTCTGTCTGTCTTTTTTTTCTGTCTGTCTTTATCTGTTTCTATCTCTGCCTTCATGTCTGTGTCTCTCTTTTTCTCTTTCTTTTTTCTTTTCTTTCTTTTTCTCTCTCTCTCTCTCTTTGCCTCTCTCTCTCTCCCTCTGTCTCTCTCTCTCTCTCTCTCTCTCTCTCTCTCTCTCTCTCTCTCTCTCTCTCTCTCTCTCTCTCTCTGATACAACATTTTCTTATATAATTCGTGCTGGCCTTGAACTCACTGTGTAGCTCAGGGAGGCTCAGAACTCACTGTGGTCCTCCTGCCTCACTTCCTGATTGCTTACAGGCATGTGACAACACACCTAGCTGGGCTTACAGGCATGTGCCAACATACCTAGCTTACGAATACTTTTTAAAAGCATGACAAAGAAGTGCCATCCTTAAACAGGATGCAATGTTTAATAGCAAAGCACATGAACAGACTCATTTAAAATTCTATTAGAAAATTAGTTGAACTGCTGATAGTTTATAGGCAAAATCTACTTGCCCTTTTATCAAAGAGTAAAGTTACCCAAGTAAAACACAGCTGGAAGATACTCAAGTCTAAAATTGGGAAGCAAAGGTTATGAATGACCAAGAATGCTCACAGTATTAATCATTAGTGCAGAAAAAAATAAATAGTGGGTAATAAAGGAACAAAATTGGCCGGAAACAGTCATTTCAGAAGATTGAGGTCATTCCATTGGTTGACTATGAGTATGGTATTTTGTGATTCAGTGTCCACATGTATTCATTTAGTTTACCAGTCAGGACACTAACATCTGACAAGCAAAATACCCTGGTGTACTTAGTGATCATAAAATATACAATTAGAGAAAAATTATTAAGTGTGAACAATTGTATTTTTCCCTTTTGTATTTTCCTTTTCAATGTACTTCTCATTGTATGAAAATACAAATAATTGTATTTTCCTTTTCAATGCGCTTCTCAGTGTATGAATGATCACCAACATCAAGATCCATTTTCAATGCACCTCTCACAAGAATTTCTCACAGAACCAGTTATGGCTTAGTTGATTAAGTCATCTCACATAAAGCGCAAGCGCAATTCCATACTTTTTTAACTTTATTTTTTTCACTAGTACATATTTGTCATACATATTGATCACATTCATCATAGGGAATCTATACCCATACAGAATTGCGATGCATTGCAGTCCCATACTTGACAAGAGTAGGGGCAGCTTGGAGTGGACCCTACGGAAAAGAAGCACATAAAATAGAAAGGATCTAATACTTTAAAATTTTTTATAACACAGCAGGAAGTTTCCACATATACTATCGCTTTACCACAATTTAATAAAATAAGTAGAAATAAATGGTGTGTCTGTTGAATAGACACAAGTTATTACACACTTTGGTCACTAAGTTGCATGTCCAGTCTTTTTTTATTTTTTCTTTTGAGGCAAGTTCTCCCTAAATTACCCAGGATAGGCTCCAATTTATGACCTCTTGCCTCAACTTCCAAAAGTACTAGGCTTGCAGGTGTGCTGCACCATGCACAGCCCTCCTGGCTTTATCGTTATAAAAGTAGTCCTGAAAGCTCTTTGGCTAGAATGAAAGTAATCAGAACTAAGCATTTGCAAAATATTTATTGGAGAAGATATGGACCAATGATTACAATGTTAGAGCTCCAAAGAACAAATATTCAACAGGAAAAATGTATAGCAATTTATTTTTATTAGCTAGGTGGACAGTAATTAAATAGTGGCAACATTTCAGTTAGACAAGCACTGAAATTTGAGACCATTGGTATCACAACTCCTGATTCAGACATTGTTAACCAGGATTTACTTGAACAACCAGACTTTGCTAAACAGGAAATAGGTGTAACATATATAAGGCTCTGACCTTCTCCCTCTGTCCACCTGCATTCCTCCAGCTGATGAAACAAATACTTCACCCTGCTCTAAGATCCAACGGTGGTAAGTGGCAACTCCTTCACTTCGGGATGAACATTTCACTATGCTAATATATTTATAACTGGACAGGAGCAAAATGATACATTTAATATACATAGATATGCTTTTCAAAAATCTATTGATTTATGTGCTGAAAATACCTTAACAAACATTTTTTCAGTAAAGAAGTTAACATGTAAGTAGCTACATTTTTGGAAAACCACTTTATCTAATTTGATAATTAAATGTAATATTTTATTATACAAGCAACAATATAATTAATTGTCATGCCCAAAAGATTATATTAGAATTATATGTTACAGTGTATTAGAACAATTAGATTATTGTTAGTAGAAAAATGAAAAATTTGCCTCTATTGAGAAGTAATTTTTATTAATCATAACATATAGGACAATGCCTTAATACAGACATTATTAGATTAAGCATGAGAAATCATGCTTGCTAGTAGTTTTTAATTTGTCAAAACAAAATTATAGAGGTGCTTTTGAGGTTAAAAAAATATTGTATGAATGATCACCAACATGAGATATAACTTATCCTGTGTAATGTATACATGCTGAAAAAGAAACAAGGATTTTTAGAAGTTTTCCAGTCAAACAATCTGCTCAGGCTCCCACATTTTTTTTAAGGTAATTTAAATGCAGTATTCATTGTGTATATTTATATAGGAAACAATTTCCACAGAGAGCTTTATATTTTATGGCAAATTAAAAACAATACTAGAGACTATTTGCATACCACAGAACTACCTTAAGGCAAGAGGAGAGGCACTGTATACTCATGAGGGAAGAGTTTACTTCTAAATTGTATTTATTCCTGCTTCTCACTGCTGTGGCCACGTGCCATCCAGGAGCTCTAGGACCACTCACATCTTGCCAGAGACCATCGGTCTCTGCTAGTTAAAACGCGAACCTGGAATGTCTGCCTGTAGGACGAAACTTCTGAAGGTGGATCAAAGGCTGTTAAATTGATGAGGCGTTTCAAGCCCGCGAGCTACTTTTTAATATTGCTCTGTGAGGTGCATTGTGGCCCCTGGATGGAGCTCAGAGAGTTTTCAACCAGTGTGAGTCACATACAGCTAAGAAAACCAGAAATACTGTTTAGTCAAGTCCAGTTACAGGGAAGGCTTTCATTCTCGAAAAGGAAAAAAATGCTTTTCAAGAACTGCCAAGGGAGCCATTTTTATTTAGATAGCTTTCCAGATTTCTTACAGATGAAGCTTAGCAGGTTTACAAATTGTATATTTGCATGACTGCTTTCTGCCTCATAGATTCTTGATGAGACGAAAGTGATCAGAATGAAGGTTTAATATTACGTTTACAGTTAGAAAATATTGGGTCTGATACCTTTCTGTGCTATGACTTGTCTGTAAACGTGTCCATAGATATAATTCACACATTCTGCATGCATGTGCTGGTGTTTTCAATGACATTTGCTGATCTGAATAATCCTTTAAATTTTCCTGTGCTATTCATTATAGGAGTGAGGGTTTTGAAACCAAACTTGCTGGGCTGATCAGGTGGTTCTGGACTCGAAGGTTTATGATTTCTCTCTATTGATTCTCTCATCCTAGGATTGCCGTTGGTAAATTGTAGTACTGAGTAACAGTGTCTGCCATGTTGCTTTCTTGACCTGGAAATAAATCCATGGAGAGTAACAGTGCCTGGCACAAAACAAAATCACTATGTATGCATTATAATGTATAGCTAAATTATGGTAAAGGGATTTTGCCATGAAATTTGCACGTAACCTATTTTATTTATAAATTTAATCCAAATATATTTACCTTTAAAGACAATGCTTAAAAGGACATAATTAATTTTTTTCCTTATAAGGAGCCAGTTTTCTCAACATGATATGCTATATAATCTGTCCTTGCCCTGCCACTTTTTAATGCTACCTTGATTGATCTGTCACTGACACTTTCTAATCACCTCTATCAGGCCATTTTCAAAATCTAAATTCTACAATCATATTAAATTTCACCGACAAACATTTGGTATCTATCTTAGTAACCACTATGAAAAACTAGGGAAAGATGCTTCAATTACTTCTCTTGAAATTTGTTCAGGTTGTTTCCCCCCCCCCCCCCCCCCCGTTGCTGTGGATTTAACCCAGAGCCTTCCCACTGGGCTATCTCCCCTTTATTATTTTGTCAGTTTGAGACTGGGCCTTGCTGAGTAAGCAAGTTCTCCATGGTGGTCTCAAATCTGTCATCCTTCTGTCTCAGTCTCCCAGAGTGCTGGTATTACAGACCTGTGCTAACACATGCTTGAAAAGTTACTTACTTATTAATGAACTAATCTGAGTTTTTATTCAAATGGTAAGTAACTATAAATTAGTTCCATTAAGATTAATTATCATGTTAGTACATTGTCAATTAAGATGTAAAAATTTTAATTTACTGGTCTTTTTTGTTAATGGAGTGTTTTAAGTTTTCTTAAAAAGATGTTTTTTGTTGTTTGTTGAACACTTTAAGGTGTTGTTACTCTTATTTGTTGTTTTTTGAAATCTTTTTTCTGCCTGAGTGTTGCTCTCCACAATAAGACAATAGTCTATGCAGCAAATTTATTCATTACAGTGTATTCTCTAGACAGTTGACCATATTTAAAAACTCATAATTCTACCTTTTCCCTTACAAGACTTACCAAAATCACATATATTCTTTCCCTTTAAGGGCTTTATCATCTCTCAGAAACATGTTAAGTAAAAATATTAGTCATTCTTTTTTATCCCCAACACAGTACTAAATGGGATGTAACTGGAGTTTTTCAATAACCATTTACTTGTTACAGATATTTAGTAGATTATTGACACCAAATTAATTATCTGTGCTATTCTATTTTAAAATGACAGGTATGGATTGGATTTAATAACATGTTTTTCTTATACACTATTTTAGCTTACCAATGTGACAAATTTTACTAATGCATTTTCTAACATTGAATCCCCTTTACAGTTCTATTATGATTATGCTGGATCATGTTATTTTAATGCAGTTTTGAAATAAATCAGAGCTTAGGTAGAATTTTTGCATTGTATTTATAAAATAGACCCACGAATCAAATACTCTGCTCCTCATGTTAACTCACCATTACTGCATTGAAATACCAGGAGCAGGTTAGCTATACTAAGAAGAGAGGTTCTCTTAGTTTGGGAGGCTCAAGGACATAGCTCTGGGGACACCTCAGCTCTGTCACAGTGTGGTGGGTGATAATGCTGAGACCCCCTGTAGGATGGAGCAGTCACCTTCCCGAACAGGACACCAGAGAGCTGGGTAGGGCCAGGCTTAGGTTTGTGTACTCTCTTCTGAAAAGTACCAAAGAATTCCAAGGGGCTACCTAACCCCTTCTGAGGAAAGTGATCTCAACTTACCTAAGGTCTGTGTACCAGGCGCCACCTCAAAATGGTTAAACAATGCTTCCCCAAACCATCACCCTGGCAGCAAAGCTCCCAACACGTGAACTTTTGTGCGGCCAAACGATGTCTGGATGACATCCTCATCTTTTGCAGGGATCAGTCTGAATCATTTGCACTTGCTCCCACTTTGTAGCTTACCAGCACTACTCCTTCCACATAAAGTGTGACCTGAAGAATGGCAGTAATGGAAAAGAGGTGGGATTGATTGCAAAACAGATGAGGAAATAGTGAGTAATAACTGGCCTGCTTGTTTGACACTGGCTCTAAGTAATCTATGCTGGCCTTCAACTCGCTGTGTAGCCCCAGCCGGCATTCAACTCATAACTGTCATGCCTCAGCCTCCTCAAGGCTGGGATTATAGGCGTGCACTACCACACCCAGAATAATAGACCCACTTGATAAATGAAAAGCAAAAATTCCTAACAAAAAAATAATTTCAAATGTATGGTAAAAGTGTAATCTAACAGAGTTATGCCAAGGTTTCAAGCATAATTCAGAATGATAAAACACAGTGGTACATTTTTTAACATTAATAAAGAAATCATGCAACAGACATTATTAAATATAGTCCCTACAGACAGCTTTTTAAAAAAACCAGACCAGAATAAAAGAGATCATTAATTTGGTAGCAATATATACTAAGAATCAACGGCAAATACACAGGTTCTTTTAATCACACAGCCCTCATGTTTGGGAGGGATAAAAGATTTAACTGCAGCAGCCCCAGAGTCTCGCTACAGGTATCCTTGTTTCTTTCAGCGGATGACCTTCTTAATCTTGATTTTCCTTAGTTCTTTATGCACAATGGTTCCTATGTTTCCGGATATTATCATGTTGACATTTAGCATCAGGACTAAATGTCAACAGTGTTTGTTCTGTTGCTGCGGGATTTTTCCATGAATAAAAAGGGAACAACTGTCCTGAGGTAAGCACAGGAATTAAAAACCATTATTTTCATTACATCCGCACACCAGCCCCGGCCCCATGACGTAACACTCCCCTTCACTTCACCTTCAGCACCCATGTTGTTAGGGTTTATATCTAGAAGCTCCCAGGAGCCTCCCGTGCTCATAAGCGAGGATGGAATCACGGGGTCTTTGCAGCTGACTTGCCATAAGGAGGTGGTGCCTGGTCAGAGAGGCAGGCTTCTGGGGGCGTGGCCTGGATGAGTGTACCTTTTTTATTGGTTCTTTACTCCTCTGTTTGCTTTTTGGCTGCCGTGAGGTGAGGATGTTTCATCCATCCTAACACTTCCGCCCTGCCTTTCTGTGTTTAAGCCTGCAGACCATGGACTGACACTTTTGCCCTGTAAGCCAAAGTCAACCTCTTCTCCTCTAAATTGTGGTATTTTGTCCCAGGGATGAGAAAGTAAGTAAGGCACACATATAGTCATATGCAAGTACACAAAGAGAAACATACCTACACATACCAAAGGCCATGGAATTTTCTTGCTAGCTTTTGGTACTAATTTAATCCATGTTTCCCTCTTATTTCTGTAATTCCTTGAAGTTAATTCTGTTGCCAGGAAAAAAGTATTGCTATAGTGACATGTGAAAAGTTTACTTTTTAAATAAATAATTTGAGTGATTCTTTTAGCAACTTAACAAAAAATTTCCTATTATAATTTAGAAACCATTATTTCCACAAAATGGACTTCTAAGACAAGACATACCTGTAAAATTTCTGTGGATGTGTTTGTCACTTAATGTAGAATGATAACATGTAAGAAAACTTTTTTCATTTTCACAAAAATGCTGCAACAATAGTGGTCTTAACATCAGTAAGTAGTATATACTGCAGTTTAATTAAATTGCATACATTTACATTTAGAAAGACAGATTTTGCTCTACTGTAGATTCATAATTAAATAGTAGCAAATCATAAGAACCTGAAATTGCAAATCTTTGATATTTCTGCATTTGGTTTTTCTCTGTTCACATATGAAAATTTCTACTGTTTTTAAAAAAGGAAAAGTACAGAAGGAAGAATGGAAAGTTAAAGTATTTGCATATAGCAAAATAATTCTTTTAAGATAAGTGGATTTAAATTCAGCCACAATTTGTTCCTAGGAAATAGTAGAGGAAGTGTGTAACTGCACAAATTTAGAAATTGCCTCCACAAATTTAGAAAATGCCTCCATCAGGTGAATGACAGGATTACAGACAGCTGTTTTTCCTAATTCTTCCCAAAGCATTTCTCCCCCACATGTACACTTCCTGTTTACAGCAACACTTAGGGAAGCCCTTAGGTGTAATGAAGCTAAATGTTTTGATGATGATGATGTTGTTGAATCTTTGTCTTATTCACCACAATTGAAATGTTTACCTCCTCGACCCCAAGTAGTTTAGATTTGTCAACATCTTTCTCTAGAAAGCACTAGAATGGATCAGGGTAAAAAAAAAAAAAAATACAACTTTATCATCCACTTTTGCACACATGGGGAAAGTTCAACATCTCAGGTGTGGGTATGTGAATGATAGGCTCCCTAATGATTGCCAGGGTTCTGGAGATGTTGTGTCTTGTTCACATGATCATGCTCAGCAATGACTAAAAGGCTATCCTGAATGGAGTATGCAAAACATGGTCAGGTTTTGCACAGTCAAAACTGTCAAAGACAAGGACAATACTAGCCTTGTTATTTCTGATTTGAAAACAAAGAAGAACCTGTTTTTCTTTTTTGTTAACAAATTGATCAAGAGACCTATAGGGAGCCATTGCCAGGGGATTTTCCTGCCCAGAGGAACTAGGCTAAAGCAAGTCTTTTGGAGATGTACAAAAAGGGTCTCTGTAGGTTGACCAGTTGGCTCATATAAAATGAATACTCCTTAGCCATGGTGCTTTTTCATAAAGTATGTTATAGTTATGGATAAAAGCCAAATGCACATGAACAAATTTGTAGAGATAATGAACTGCACTTTGATATGAAAAATTCAACACAATGCAGTTTATTGTGTAGACTTTAAATACTTTTATCCAGGGACAAATGTTCTTATAATTAGCCTATTACTTTCCTTGAGGAGAGGGACTTAGACATGTTGTTGAAGGCTGTAGCTATTATCAATTCCAAGAATTAACATGATCAAAAGCATTAGTATGACATAATTATCAAGCAGTGACTACTGAGACTAAAAAATACTTGGTTCCATTCCCTACAATCGACTAAATAGCCATGAAACCATGAAGTCATATAATACCTAAACTATAAATTTCACTATGTTGCAAAAGTAACAGAAATAACTAGTTTTGCAAAGTCGGGATTAGTTCCAAGAGTTAATCTCCTTTTATAAAACTTTTTCCTTTGTGAATCACTGCATTGCAATGTTGCCCTATTTTTGAAATTAGGTAAAAATAATGCATTTATACATGAAGATAAACTATTTCTCTTAGATTTCTTCTCAGTCTCTTTCATTCTATGCCTAGCATTTTGTCTGATCATTAATTTCATAAGAGGAAGAGATGAGGTCCTGTTTCTAAGACTATTCTCCAGTAGAATCAAAATATGTCATTTCCAGCCTGCCTTATATGCTACAATAATCACTATCACCTTGCAGTAAAACACCTTTTGACTCTTTCCTACACATAGCACAGCACCTCTCTCTCGTAGAGTTCTTGGGGTCCAGCAAAGGAGAGAAATCACAGCTTCCCTGACACCTGGGTGCTAGACAGCCTCAGCTGCAACCTGCTCCTGCAACGCCTGGCTCTGACCCACCTGCCAGAATGGAGCCCTGCTATTCCTGCTCCATCTCACAGAGCTCACTCAAAATAACCTAGGTTTCAAATATTAAAGCGGGGAATGTTTATTGTTTGGTCAGCCAATATAGCAACACATGGTTGAATAAGGAAAAAAATATTTCCAACAGTTGGGAAGGCTAGATATTCAAGATCAAGATGCCCTGGTTATTTCCCAGTGAGGGCTTTCCTGCTGGTGTGCAGATAGCCATCTTTACACTGTGTCCTCACATGGTCTCTTCTGTTTACGTGCGTGTGTGGCAGTCGGTAGGGGGAACAGTCTGGCATCATTTATAAGGACACTAATTCTATTGGATCTGGGTCCCTCTCTTATGAAATCATTGACCATCAAGTACTTTCTCAGAGGATTCATCTAAATACATCCAGGATGGGTGAGTCACCGTATGAATTTGAGGGTGGTAGGGACCCACCCATGCAGTGCATAACAACAGGCTAAAGGTCTAACTTACAATTTAATGTTCAGTTTTTTAACAGAAAGCCTAACTCTCTCAGCTACAGAACTACCATCAATGTATAGTGGCTTTTATTTCTCATATGCTTCAATAAGGGGAAGTATTCTGATTTATTTAGGCATTTTATCTATCCATTTCTGAAGATGCCATTAGTTAATAATGCATTTATCCTTACATGTAATGATATCATGAAAATTTATCAGCATTTTGGGTGGTTCAGGCAGAAAGATAGCGATTTCAAGCCCAAGCTAGGCAATTTAGTGACTTCCCAAAATGCTATCCCAAAATAAAAGTCTCAGGGTGTAGCTCAATGTAAAGGCCTCAAACTTTCATCAAAACATTATTTTCTTAGAAGCACAACAATGTGAAGTAGTAAAACAAATTTTGTGAACATATCAGAGATATTCATAAAGATGTTGTTAGCAACCTATTAAAATGGATCAATCAAGTTATAACCTTTTCTTTGATGATCTAGAAGGAGAACATTGTGGTTTTCTTGTTTGTTTGTTTGTTTGTTTGTTTGTTTGGTAGATTAGGTTTGGGGGAGTTTGAGGCCTGGTACTAAAGACAAAGTCTTGACAGAGAATGAGTCACAGCCCTGACTGTGTGAATAAAGTTGAGCAGACTGGTTAAAAAGTATGAAAAACAGCAGATCCTTTTCAGAAGAAGGAGCAACAGTTTTCAGAAGGTTTGTTTCAGAACAAACTAGAGCCCTGATGTAAGATAAACGTCATTTGCTATCTTCTGATTTCAAGAAATGGTAATTTTTTGTGTGTGATCTTTTTGAAACCGGGTTTCACTATACAGTTCAGGCTGGCCTTGAGCTCACTTTGTAGCCCAGGCTCGTCTCGAACTTGCAACGATCCTCCTGCCTCAGCCTCCCGAGTGCTGGGATTACAGGTGTGCACCACCATGCCTGGCAGGAAATGGTAATTTTAAAGGATACAGACAGGGCTGTAAGTAGCCAGCAAGGGCTAAACGCAGTAGGACTTACAATGCATTGGCTGGGAGTTCGTCTTAGTCACTTTCTTTTTGCTGAGACAAAATGCTTGACATGCACAGTTTAAGAGAAAAAGGATTTATTTTTGTTCAACTATTGTTCACAGTATGCTGGCTCCAAGGCAAGACAAACGTCACAGGGACATGGAGACAGGAAGCAGAGAGTAAAGAAAGGATCCAGGGAGGCGGGTAAACATCCATGATACTTTCTTAACGACCTGCCTGCTTGGACACTACATTACGACAGCAAATCAGCTATAATGCTTCCGTAATCCAATCTCCTTCCCAATACTCCCCTATGAGTGCAGCAGGCTCTTGTGAGACATCTAGCTCTAAACCATAACAGAGATATTACTATTGAATGGGCAAGGTGAAGGTGCCAGTCCTCCTACCAAAGAGAGCAGCTGCATGATCAGAGCGCAGTGCTGGGAAGAAAGGCCATTAGGCCCTCATCACCAAGAGGTGTGCTTCGGAGCTGCTTTCAGGTTTAGCGCTTCCACTTGTTACTGCCTCTGTGGAGATGTCCTGCTGCAGCCCAGGCCACCATCCTTCTGCTGTTCCATGTGGTGGTTCTTCTCTTGTCACGTTGTGAATCTGGATAGTGGAGCTTTGTAGGCCTCCACCTCTAGGTATGAAACAGGTTAATGCAGTCTTTGTTCCCTGTGTTTTGTTTTCCCAGCAATGGCATTGTTCCCAGTGATCCTCTTCCTGGTCGCTGTACTGCTTCCATCTCTCCCTGTAAATGGGAATGAGGTAAGGTTATGTTTGAAAATCTTTTCAGACAGCTCAGGGAACCTTGAGAGAGAGCAAGCTGCAAGATCAGCCTTCAAAACTGAAAAGGGCTAGAGTGTCTGGTACATCACGAAGTACTCATTGGAAGCGCTGGGCAGTTGACACACATTCACAGTTCTGGTGAACGAGCGTGGTGGCCCCTCGCCATGTGAATGTATTCACCAGCGGATACGTGGTTATCTAAATCAACATGGCGTATGTTTAAAATACACAGAAGATTTCAAAGATAGTCCACAAAAAGAGACAGACTATCTCATAATAATTTTAATTTCTAAATTGGCCACCTTAAAATTGAGATTACATGTGGTATTTGAACTGTGTTTTGAGGAGTGGACACAAGTCTATGAGTTTAAAGCTAATATAATTTCTCCTGCCCTAAGAGCTGCTGTGGTTTTATTTAATTCATTTAAACATGATCCACACAGAAAATTAACAATATATTGATATATAATCGCAAATTACTATCATGGCTTCACAGACATTGCTATATCTAATTTTTATGGACAATATAGGAAAACAATTATACTTGTTTTTAAGTGAAAATTTACTAAAATTATTAAGTAGATACCTTGACCATTCTCCAATTATCTCTAGTAAGCATTTTCCTCAAATAATTCTGGAAAAAGGTTGATCACCCTTTTCAAAGACAGGGTGTGCAGTGCCCAAGGAAGGTGTTTGTCATCTGTCCAGAAAACTTCTGAATGTCAGAAATTTAGGGCATTGCTTTTGGTTACCACACCCTGCTTCAGCTTTGGACGTACAGTAGATAGGCTTCTTTGCACTAGAGAACTCCAGCACTCGGCTAAAATTTTGTCTACAGAAAAGTAGGCATTATATTACCACAATTAAATTATCAACCTGGAGACAATTTATTCCTCACTTAGGGTTTCATTCATGTAATTTGTTTTCTTTTCAAATACTTTTCTACAGAATCCATTTGTGGGCCTCCCTTTTCATCTGTTATCCTCTGGTCTGTCTCCTAGCTTTATTGATAAATTTATTAAAAGTTGAATACTGGAGAGATCTATAATCACATTTTGTTGAGCCTTTATGACCTTGAACATCTCCGATTGACCACTACTTCTATATTACATAGAATCCCTTCGATCAGTTTTGCTACCTGGGATTGGGATTAATTATGTCATGTACCAATCCAATATAATCTCTTGAACATATACACTATATTTTACTTTCAATACTTTTAATATTTTTGTCATGTAATAAACCTTTATCGATGTTCATTTTAAAAATGAACCAAATATACCTCTTCTTCAGGAGAATTTTTATCTACAAATAAATATGTAAACAGCAGAAAAGCACTACTTCTCTCTTACAAACCAACTTGACTGTGTTTTGAAATAAAACTACTTTAAGTGGGTCTTTGAGGTCAGTAGGAAATATCTAGATATATTACTTTAGCTTCTGTGAAATGCAGAGTTCCGTCACTATTGATGGTTAGCATCTACCTTTTTTCAACCTCCTGTGCTAAATCTAATGGTATTGGACATTTAATAATTGTCCTTGTGTGGAGGACCACCTAGGTGACTCTCCTTGAAAGAGGAGCAGTTGTCTCCATTCTGGCAGAGCCTGGCCTTGTTTCCAAGTATTGACATGTACAGAGCTGGCTGGGACATTTCCTTACCCCTTTAGTTGGCTTTAAGCAATGCATATCAGTCTACCCAAGGTGCTGATGGTAATCTTTGGAGATGGCAGGCGTGTTTCCCTGACCTCCTCTTGCTCCCACAAGTGAACCAGGATAAGGCGAGATGTGTGAGCCAATGCTCCACACTGTTGGCTGGTATCCAGCCTTAGGATAGAGGCTCTGACTTCCTGGCACTTCAAAGATTACACATCAGAGCTGAAGCACCAACCCCAAAACATTAGATACTATCTCAGTTGTGTTATGCAGATTACTGTTTCTGCAGATCCTTCGCTCTGCATTTGGCATAGGTGATTTCAGGCCTCCTACCTAGCCCAGCTCACAGTGCTCACCTGCTTCCCACGGATCTCACAGTCACTCATCCTCAAGCCACTCCCTTCTTCATGAATGAATAAAACCTGTGTTCAGCCTTGGGTTGAGGCCTTTGTTCTGGATGGCCATCATCATGGATAGACTTAGAACCCCTTGGCTCCCCATTACTACAAATATGCCTTAGTGTCTTTATTCTCATCATGGGTTGCACTGGAAGGGGTAGATTGGAATTAACTCACTAGCATTCCAATAACTTTTCATGGGATTACAAATACAAACTTCCTGGGCCATGCCGAGCACTCGGAAGGACTCACTATATCCTTGTTCTTAGGAACCTAAAAACAAGAGGAAGAAATTGACAGTAGCTAATGTTAATGCATCATGGTCAGACCTCTAAGTACAGTATTAGTAGTCCTGAGGGAACTCAGTAAGGTGGGAGGGGCAGATAACTTTCCCAGGTTCTCAGACAAATTTTACAAGGGTCTTGCCAGTTTACACTTATAGTATAAAATCTTTTTTCTCACTATAAAACTGCATATTTTGTATAAATTTAGATCAATAAAATACTCATCCTTTTTAATCCATATTTTATTATTATTATCATTATTATTGTTTATTGGTACATATATGTAGTGCATAGTGTTTCCATTCCTTGTGGGAAGTTGATACACGTACGTAATACCCCTTAATTCTTTTTTTCATCTCCTTTCCCTTCCCTCCTCCCTTCCACCCATCTCTTGATTCCTGTCTCAGTTACTTCCCCTTGCTGGGACAAATTACCCAACATCCAAAGTTAAAGGAAAAATGGTTTATTGTAACTCATAGTAGTTTCAGTCCATGACTGGCTGGTTCCAAGGCAGGGCGGCAGAGGGGCATGGCGGAGGAGAAACTGTTCATGACACAGCAGCAAGGAACAGTGGGCATCAAGGCCGTTAGAGGGATATATGCACACTTCCAAGCCATTCCCACTCGGTTTCATCTCCCAAAATCACTGCCAGAGATAAACCCATCAGTGGACTAACCCAATATCACACATCACCCAGTATCACACACCCATGATCCGATTACCTGCCCAAAGCCGCACCTATGTATACATGAGGCTTTGAGGACAGTGCTAGATATAAGGCAACAATTGCCTTCCTACTAGATATAAGACGTAATAATCCCCTTCTCTTGTTCTATACATGTTTGCAGGACAAGACGTTCACATTTCTTGTGTGGAGTTGGTGCATGCATATAACACGTTCTAATTCCCTTATTTTTCTTGTGCCAGCAGTGTACATAACCAAGGTTAACCCTCCAGAGCGACACAGGCACAAAAGCATAAGCTCCAATATTACCATCTGAGTTAGTACCTTATCATTCACCATTCTCATTTTGAAAAGGTACAGTCAGCAAGAGCCCCTTAGTTTAATGACTTCTTTTCTTCAAATTGTGTTAAGGATTTTTTTTTTTAATCATAAAACCATTCCATGAGTGATTCCATAAAATCTGCTACCTAACACATACCACTCTTTTACTAGGCTATGGACTATGCGCATGCACCAGAACTAAGCATTCCTTCTCTAGATATCAGATACTGTTTCAGAAGACTGATCCCACTTAAGTCCACAGTACAGTATGTGCCTGGACCTTCACAGTCCCTTGTTGTAAGCTAATTGAGTGTGACTCTCTTACTAGTTCCATCCATGTACCTTTGTCATTGTACAGTGTTATCACTAGTACATTACATCTAGAAAAATCATAGTAATACTGCTCTGAAAGCAAAAGCAGCATTTGTGGCCTAGGAGGAGAGTTTAGTTTGCCGTCACTGATTACATCCCTATTCTCAAAGCTTTAGACTACCACTTGTGGGTTTAAAAGTCATAGATTTGTCTTATAATAATTGGCACTGTTCAACAAATAATATTAGCTTGAACTAAACACTTTTTCAAAATGGTCTTTGATCTTTTGAAAGATCAAAGACTTATTCACTTACAATTTTCAAATATACTAAAAATAAACCTCACTTTATTTCTCCCTAGGATCCAGCGTTTGCTGTTTTGTCAACCACCCTTCCGCAAGTCCAAGAGGAGATTGTAAATAAACACAATGAGCTGAGGAGAGCAGTGTCGCCAAGTGCCAGTGACATGCTGAAGATGGTGAGGGCCGTAATGCAGGGAAGGTGGGCTAGAAGCAGGCAGCTGGCAAGGGGCATCTTACTTTGCCTAAGAAGTTGAGCCTTGAATTTGCACTTGATTTGTTTGATGGTCAGGGCAGAGTTTCTCAACTTCTCTTGATAATGCTTAAATAACGTCAAGTTTAATGGACTGTTTAAGTTACGACAATGGAACTAGGATATCTTCAGGCATCCAACGAACCGTGTTTGTATTTTTCTGTTCTTATCTCCTAATCTAGTGCCAGGAAGATGCTCCCTGAGGATTGGTACTGTTTAGTGTCCTTAACAGTGCAGTGCTCTGGTTCCACCACCAATGGCCAACATCTCCCACATGTACTGGATAAGGGAGGGGGACTGGTGATACAGTATTTGGAGTGGGACAATTGCTACAAATCACTAGTTGTGCCTACTGTGCCATTAAAATAATTGGACCAGGGTCAGGATATAGCTCAGCGGCACAGCGCCTGCTTGGCAAGCGCGAGGTTGTGAGTTCAATTCCTGCTACACGCCCCCCCAAAAAATAAATTAAAAAATAAAATAAAATAAAATAATTGAACCATAACTATTTTGGATTTTTAGTTACCTATGGTAAACATACTATTAAAAATCACATAGATGGGGGCTGGGGATTTAGCTCAGCGGCAAAAGCACCTGCCTGGCAAGCGCAAGGTCGTGAGTTCGGTTCCAGGTACCGGAGAAAAACCAAAAAAAAAAAAAAATCACATAGATGATGATAGATGATACAGATATAAAATAGATGATATAGATATGGATGATAAAGATACATAGAGATAGAGATATAATCTGCTTTTGATTTAAAAAGTTGGAAAGTACCTTTGAAGAAAGTGTGTTTCGTTTATTTTTTATTGACACGTTTGGGACATATAATAAGTACATTCACAATGGGGTATTGGTATGGGGAGCGGTATGGAATCTTAATCCTCTTTACCCCTCCCTCGCCCTCCTCCCATCCAGTGTTCTCCTCTCCTCAGATTCCTGTCCTAGCCCCGCTGTTTACCTCCCTGCAGCTTGGCATCTTTCTTTTATTCCGCTGTTCATTCAGACCTTGGCTTTCTCATATAGGAGAAACTATGAACTATTTCACCTTCACTTACAGAAATTTCACAGAGGTACAAACCAACCTATCAATCTGATGTACATTTTGTGTCTTGACTTTCAAGCACTGAGTGAACGTCTTTTCTTCTTTCCTTCCCCCAGAAATGGAGCAGTGCAGCAGCAGAGAACGCGCAAGCCTGGGCGAGCAAGTGCACGTACAGTCACAGTTCCAGTGAGGACCGAAAGCTCAGTATGTCAATCAACGAGTATCAGAGCTTTGTAAATAAATATTGCTTCTAGGGTTGCCTTTTCCCAGTTAAGAAGCTCTGAGTGTAGACGTACAGTAATTCTGAGAATCACCACCTTGTGTGTATTGTGTTGTAGTTTGTAAAAGCTATCTCACACAGTATCGCCTTTGTACCTCCCAAGCAGTTCATGAATAAAGTAGGGTGAATCATTTCTATCTCTAAAGATTAGAAAACAATTTACCTGGAGGAAAATGATTGGCAATTAGGATCACATGCAGGATTTTAAAAAACTAGAACTTCTGACTTTAACCCGTTCACCATTTTGTGATATTAGATAGCGTGCTTGTGTTTTAAAAACTAGTTTTAGGGGGCTGGGGATTTAACTCAGCGGCAAAAGCGTCTGCCTGGCAAGCGCAAGGTCATGAGTTCAGTTCCCGGTACCGGAGAAAAAAACAACTAAAAACTAGTTTGGGATTTATAAAACATATTGATCATGAATTTTCTCAAATATAGTTAAAATTAACATTTATCTTTATTTCCTTTTTAATTTTGATGACAAATTTTGTACGCTTTGGATGTCTGCAATGCACATTATTTTAAAGTAAAAGTTAACCTATAAAAGATAAACTTTACATCAAAGAACACCAAAACAATGACAAAATATAGTATAAATGAAATTTAAAGTACATATGGAATATCAAAATGTCATAAAGTCAATCCCAATTGAAAAGTGATAAATAACTAATCTGTTTTGAAAATGCCTTCATTATTGTTTATATTTTTGATTAAATAATTATAATCAATTAAGATGGGTGTCTGTAGTTAAGAGAAGATCATAAGAATTGGTCTTTAAAATCTCAGTCTACTGTAAAAATCTTAGTTTCTTGCTTTTTCTCTTAAAGTATACACGTGTTTAAAAGGCACAGAAAGAAGGAGTTTAATCTTTCTTTAAGCAACACGTAGATATTACATTTAACATCCAAATAAAAATAATAGTTGTACAGCTTGAAAAATATTGGAATAATTTTGTGCTGCAAGATACTTCTTTGTTCATTGTGAGGGAGCATCTGGCCTGTGATGCTCTGATTGATTGACTGATTAAGGGGCCAACTGTATACTTCAAAATTACTCTCTCTTCTGGTTTTGGGGAACGTTAGAGACTCACTGTAAGTTTTTTTTTCAAAGTTTATACAAAATAATAAACTTTAATATTAATGCAGATTTTATATATGAATATCTCTCATGGCCACAGTTTAGAACAGAAGAGAAATTAGAGGAGTTAGTAATTTTCCAATAAAAAGCTGAGCACGAATGAGGCATATACATTTTATGTGAGAATTTAATGTGTAAATGAATGCGTTCTAGGACAGCAGACATTAAAGACAGAAGACTTATTTATCTACTGAAAGCTTTGTAGATTGAGGCACTGGGCACATCTGGCTGCTACTCAGCTGATAGCTGATGAGGACCTGAGGCACCCTCCTTAGGGATTACCCAGCATTCCACAGCTATGGACGCCGCATTTGCAGAGAAGGAGCTCTGCTTAGCTTGTGTGTGTGCGCGTGTGTGCGTGTGCCGTTGCCTGCCTTACTGCATTCCTCATGAGTGCCTGTTACCTCTTAGATGTAAGCTGTGGTGAGAATCTCTTTATGTCAACCGCTCCCTCTTCGTGGTCATCTGCAATCCAACAGTGGTACGACGAGAGCAAGAATTTTGAGTACGGTGTAGGTCCACTGTCGCCCAATGGAGTAGTAGGACACTATACACAGGTAAGAAAAAGAAATAAAATATTCCCTGCCCCACACAACCTAAAAGAAAAACTTGTCCAAAGTTTGGCTGATTCCAAAATCAAATCTGAGTGGAAAATCCTCTTGGATATAGTCTTGGCATTCTTTGGGAATTTGAGCTATTATTTTTCAATACGCTGTGATTAACAATATCTTATTCATGAAGTAACACATTCTGTGCTTCTCTAATAATCTAAAACAGTAAAAGAGTGAATGTACAGAATAATGTAATATTTTAAAGTATTTTTATTTGATTCAGTAATTTATGTATAAGGTGTATACAAAAATATACCTTCTAACATTCCTTTTGTTATATTTCCCTTCCCTCCCATCTACTCTTTATCTGCCCTTGTGGTGCGCAGGTTGTTTGGTACTCCTCTTTCTCCGTCGGATGCGCCTATGCCCATTGTCCTAGCCAGTCACCTTTGGAATACTTCATGGTTTGCCAGTACTGTCCCGCGTAAGTATCCACTTAGAGATTACTGACAATAATGCAAAATGCAAGTTAATAATTCTCAATTACATTGTAAAAAAGACTACAAAACATTTTTAGAAGAGAAGGAAATGAATCTTTAGAAAGGCTTTCTAAGGTGAGGCATATTTATTCAAATTTTTTGAAAGAAGGGGCTGGAGTTTTAGCTCACCGGCACAGTGCCTGCCTGGCAAGCGTGAGGTCATGAGTTCGATTCCTGGTACCAGAAAAAAAAACCAAACCAAAATTTTTTGAAAGATGAGTTTTTTAGTTGCAAGGTTATTTTCAGAAGCTCTTTCCTGTTGGCTAAATGATTTATTTTCCTTCTTAACTGCTGTTATCTGGACTCAGGGTTACCCTGTGAGGTCCATGCATTTTGCAGTTTCCATATTTGAGTTGTCTGAGTTCACACAGAAAGTGAAATATTGTTGTTAGACCAAAGTAAAGGTGAGTGAGCAAATGAGCAATGACTTAATTTCATGATTCTACCAGCTCCTGTTCCAGAGTTTGTCCTCTTGCATAATTAAATTGTTACCCTGGCTGCTAAGAAATGATTAAATCTTGGGCTTTACAGCTTTTTAATAGATACATAATAGATCCATTGAAAAGTTTTATTTCAAAAGTTCAAGAAAAGACATCTCTTTAAGCCTGTGCCTCTCACAATTTAGTATAAAAAAAAATCTCTGAAGAAACCATTCATTAAGATTATGATTTATAACCAAAAGCTCATACCTTCCCCAAAGCATGTTTGAACTTTCCCATAATAGTTTACAATGTAATGAAGCTATATTAATCAAGCTGTAAGTTTTAATTTTTTTCCCATCCATGTATGTTTTTACCAGTGGAGGCAGAAGACCTCACCAAATGTAGGGTCTCAATATGATCCACTTTTAAATTGTAAATAATCCAGATGATGTGGAGTTTTTAAAAGTATTTTAGAAGTATGACTTTTGAAGTCATTTTCAGCAAGTCCTCTTGGTGTTAAGCAGAAAGAGTTGAATGACACGAACAGAATGACTGGAATGCCTGGTCAAAAACTGAGTACATCTGAAGTAGAGTCAAAGTGAAAAAAAACAAAACAAAACAACAACAAAGAAAAAACAGAGAGAGAATTTCTACAACACTTTTGTATCTATTTCATAGCTTTTATAGTTGCTCGCACATCCTTTGTGGAGAAAATATACTTGCATTTCCTTGGGCTTTTGCCCAATTTGGTGGAATCAAGAATTTGACTCCCTTGAATATTCAGATGATAAATAACAATAGTACACTAGTTATGGGAAGGACAAGCTGAACATGTAAAATCAGTACACTGTGCAGACTGCTGTTAATAAAACCCTTTTAGTTTTTAAAAAAAATTGCCTTTTTATGACATGAAAATGACACACACACACACACACACAGAGGCACACAGCACCTTTAGATATTCCCAAACCTGTGCAAACACAATTCCCTTTCTAAAACATATACCAAAAACACTTGAAGGATTGTCACTCCTACCTAGAAGCCAAAATTTCACTGAAGCTTTATTTACACTGTTTCATCTTATAGAATTTTTTCCATTTTTAACTATAAAATTAAATTTTAAATGAAGCATTAATTAGTTTTTCTACTGTATCTCTCTGTCACCTAGAATCATTTCCTTTCTGTGCAGGGAAGGTGTTTTATCCTTAGCAAGCACTTTCTGATGTGCCATTTTAGCATTTTGACCAAGTCTACTGGGAAATTAAGAATCTTTAGCCACACTGACATACACTCTGAAAATGTTAGGCTCCAATTATCCTATTTCTGTCACTCAGGTCCTGAGATCATGATTAAGTGAAGAACTAAGTCTGTGAATTTTTCTCTTATTTGATGTTGTCATTTGAACACACTTTGGGAATGATAGATTTGTAATCAGTTGAAACATTTTTTAAAAATTTTAAAATAAATAAATATATATATATATATATATATATATATACACATTTGGTTATGCATGCAGACTGAACAGAAAATTTGAAAATACTATATTTAATGTTTTGCCTTTCAAATTTCAGTGGTAATAATGTAGCAAAACTGTACACGCCTTACAAGCAAGGAACTCCCTGTGCCAGCTGCCCTGATCACTGTGAGGACGGACTGTGCAGTAAGTGTAACGGGTTAACTTCCTAGTTCATAAAATAATACGATGGGGCTGGGGATGTAACTCAGCAGCATAAGTGCTTGCCTGGCAAGCCTGAGGTCATGAGTTCGATTCCTGGGACCAAAAAATAAATAAATAAACTAATTAATTAATTACGTTAAATAACATGATGGAGTTTTTTATGCATTAGAAAAATCTTCTGAATTTAAGCAGTTTAAAAGAGATCTTCAAGCAAAAGATAAATTCTACATATTGGAGCCTAAGTGCTGTACAAATCTCACCCTCTTCCTGATAGCTGTACTATTTGGAATAAAAACCCTGAGTCTCTGTCTAGGGGAAAGAAGCACCTGTGATTCATTTATACTTCTCATGATACTGAGCCGTTTACCTTGCGGCAGCTATGGATACGTTTTTGGGGAAATAATTCACTGTAATGAAATGCAAAATTTCTTATCACCAAGGACAATGCCAAAACTGGTGTTTTTAAAACAGAAAACAAAATCCTCACTGTTTGAGATGTTAGACTATGGCTCAGTGCAGAGAGACACATCAAATGCTGCAATTCATTGCACAGCAATAAATTAAAACGAGCTTCTCAGCTCCTCCATGCTGTGGCCGGAACTACCAAGTTTAATAACCATGGGCACTTCTGATTGCTGGTCATTATAAATACGTTTTTAAGGTCAAAAATTAAATTTGCACATATTATTGTTCACAGAAACCTCAAAATGTTTCAGCAAAACTAGAAAATAAAATAAATATCATACTGTCTTATTTCCAGTGTTATGAATAGAAATGCAAAGAGTATGAATATCATTCAATTCAATTCTGCCTGTCCCTGATATGTCCTCAAAAGTTTTAAAGAGAGCATATTACCATAGCGCATACAAACCTGTGTGTGTGTGTAGAGCAGAGCAATTCATGATAGCTGAGCTATGGAAATAGGTAAGATATTCATCCGTGGGTGGATGAATAAAGAAAGTTATGCATAGGATGAACATCATGTAGTGATTAAGAAGAGTGAAATCATGTCCTTTGCAAGGAAAAAGAACTGGAGACCATTGAATTAAATAAAATAAGTCAAACCCTATAAGTTAAATACCACATTTTCTCTTTTATAAGAAACCTAATGTGAGTCAACAGAAACTAGAAGTTACACGTTTAAAGACAGGGATGTGGAGGAGGCACTGAGGAAAGGTAAAGGGAATGATGCGGTTAAAAACAATCAGCATGTGTAAGAAGGCTGTACTAATTTCCCACTATCAGATTCTTCATTCTGTGGTGCTCACATGCACTACTAAAAAAGCACATAAGTTATATCAAAGTTATAACTTAACTGAGGAAGAAAAAGGCAAGAATACACCGCTTTGAGGGATAAAAACAATTTGGAATCTATCCTATTAGTAATGAATCACCAGTTGAAAGATTTCAAACAGAATTGGTGAGGTCAGAAATGTGTTTTAGAAAGAGATGCCTCCAATAGTAGGAAGAAAGAATTACATGAAAGCCAGGTAGGAAACACGGACTCAAAAATAAATGGGCAGCTCTACTACATTAGCGTGAAAGGAATGAGAAGAAAGGTGTGAGAGAAAAGAAGAAAGTAGAAAATTCACTGTTGGTTCCCTGTGTTTATGAGTGCCAAGATAATGGCAGAGCTGGGCGTGGTGGTGCACACCGACAGTCCCAGCTCCTGAGAGGATGAAGGGCAGGACCATTTGAGTACAGGGGTACAAGAACAACCTGGGCAACATACTTAGCTCCATTTCAGAAAACAAAAGCAAAGAAAAAGTAAGCTTCTGCTGTTCTTAGTACCCGATTTGAATGACTTAGCAATTGGGAATGCCATTTCTTTGAGACTGGGTGGATTCAGTGAGCCTTGTGCAATTGGGAATCAAAGAAATGCCAAGAGTTTAGGTAGGATGATGAATGTAGGCTGAGATTTGTTCAATTTGTGGCCACTGAGAGGCAGCGAAGTATAAATATCCAATAATCGTGTTGATACTCTCTCCACCTTTAATGTATAAGAAATGTGTCTACATATTTGTCTTCCCATAAGATCACTTATGAGAACCCTTGGTGGGATTGAAGTCTAGATTCTGGAGCAGAGATGGCAAACCTTTTAGAGAACAAGTGCCCAAGTTAAAACATTCTTATTTATCGCAAAGTGCCAGTGATGCAATTAAACCAGAGGATGTGATGCTCAGCTGCTGGTGCATGGCTGGGGCCTCGACTCGAATGACTGCCCGCTGGCGGCACATGTACCATCACTTTGCCACACTATTCCAGAGCAATGCTATTTAAAAACCCCTCCACAGTGATGAAATGTTCAGTGTTTTCACTGTCCAATAGAGAAGCTCCTAGATACACTGGCACTTGGAATATAACTGGTGCTGCTAAGGATATACAATTTTAATCTCAATTAAATTTTAACCAAAAGGAGCACACAACTGGTGGCTGCTATTTTAGACAGTTCATTTCTAGAGAGATGCATTTAATTTTACTCACCATTTTTGAGAGGAAAGTAAGACAGTTCACCTTAGAAACATTTCAAAAAGTTCAAACTTAAAAAGAAGCACTAGGTCATTCAGAGAATTCATTAAGGGACCTGCATGTTGTGCAAGTCACGAAACGTCATCACCGTCTAATAATGTCAATCTGTGTGTTCAATCTCTCTCCTCCGCCCACGGAATTCATTGTTACTGTGGTTGCTGTGGAGAACAGCGGTGATGTGGTGACTAATTGTTTTATTTTTATTTCAGCCAATAGTTGTGATTACGGAGATAAATATTCCAACTGTGAAAGTTTGAAGAAAGCGGTAACCTGTGATCATGAAATGGTCAAGAACAATTGCCAGGCCTCCTGCAACTGTGAAGGCAAAATTTATTAACTGCCAACGCCCATGAGCTCACCTACGTGGAGGTGGGCCACGTCCTCTACTTAGATTTGCTTTATACTACTAGGAAAACAATCCATAGAGAATCTACATATATGATTCCAAACAGTAGAGAATCTTCTGGGTCTGCTTCTTATTTTACAGAAATCTGTTTTATAAAGAGGGTTAAAAAGAAAAAAAAAAAAAAACTATGATAACTTTCAATTTTGATATGTAATCTTTTGTGATTCAAATTCAATGAATTTAATCAAATTGAGGATTTTAAAAGTTGTGTTTTCCGGTGACTAGGGTCATGGGAACTCTGGACAGGAATTGAGAATCATATTATGAGAACTAAGATTACTAAGATAAAACAACTAATCATATCCTTGTCACGTGAATTTTGGGCTATAGTGTTTTTGCGTAGCCCCGCCTAGTAAAGCATCTCCAAAGCAGTGTTCACATGTGCTGGCTTAAACTCCTCTTCACCACACCCTTCCTTCCCAGGCTTGGAATTTATCCTTGCTATTAGCTTACGGCTGTGATTCTTAAAGAAATACCGGCTTTCATTGTGTCAAAATCAATGGAGACTTCCGTCATTCATCTGTACAAATTTCACAGAGCATATGATCACAGCTTCCCTTTGAAATCTTTCTTCCTTAACTCTTCCTTAGTAAAGAATTCAAAATAGTACATGTATGGACTCTCCCTCAAGATGCGAAAGCTCAGCTCAGCCCGGCTGTTCCTATCAGCATGCTTTTGAGTCTGCACTGAACTTAGTGACTGACTTTCAACAGTAGACATTGGAAAGGCAAAAACAAATAGTCATTTTGGAGAAAGATAACGTGTACAATCTTAGCCAAGTAATCCCAGTTCTAGTCTTTTTCATTAAGATTTTAATTGTTCTCTTTGGAAATAACATTTTTTAAAAAATGTAACTTTTAGAGTTCAGTTTTCCTGTTCAGGGTGCATGCACCCACAATTTGGACATCCTCTCAATGTTAATTTGAACTGATGATTTTTTAAATGATATCTTTTAATGTTTGTCATGTCTTATTAACCATGTTGCAATAGCATTAAATTTCTTAGCTCTCACATCATGAGTTTGTTCTATTTAATGTGTATCTCAATTAATTCCCAATAAAAAAACTGTAGAAAATGACAAAAAGTCCCAAGAAACTACTTCTTTGTGATTTGATTGTCTACGCAACTTAATTTTGGCATATTTGCATGATTTTGGTGTAATTTAAATAATGATTATAAAAAATGAAGACAGTAAATATATTCCAAATTTATGCAGCTAAACTGTTAGACTAATAGGTAAACAGAAGGAGAAAAATACAGAATGAAATACAAAATAAAAGGTATACTTTAAAATGTATGCATGGGCTAAGTTATATATACAGTTAGCATAGGAATCATTTGTCTTCCTCAAAAAATTCTATACTGTGTAAAAAGTTACATATGATGTCCCTACCCCAAGTCTTTTAGAATGATCTTAAATGCTCAGGGATATTTTTTTCAAACACAAGCAGAGTAGATTGCTGCTTGTATCAATCAAATTTGTCAATTCAGAAACAATTAAAACACAAGAGGAGAAAGTGGTTTACTTTTTATTCGTGTGAATGACACAAGAACTCACATACTATACACTGTTGGTCATTTCTTCACCCAGAACTTCATGGCACACTGGAAGGCATAGTTTACACTCATTGACAATAGAAAGATAAAATAATGCTAACCTAAATTTTTCCAAAGCCTCACTAGAAGTAATATTTTATATTCATAATGTCAATTTACAAATAATTTTAAATTCTAATTATTAATACATATTAATTGTACAAATTAGTGTGATTCAGTGTTGTTATGGCCTGTGTCTAAATGTCCCCCCAAAGCCTCATGCAGTCACAAGTGGGGCTTTTCATAGGTGGCCGGATCTAGTGTGTGTGATGCTGGGATAAAGTGTGTGTGATTACTATATCAGTCACTAATAGTCTTGGCAAAGTTCTTGGTAGGAGGGGCTGGGGATTTAGCTCAGCGGCACAGTGCCTGCCTGCCAAGCACAAGGTCATGAGTTCGATTCCTGGTACCGGAAAAAAGCCAAAAAAAAAAAAAGTTCTTGGTAGGGTTAAGGGTGCCCCACCCCAGGTGGATAAAATAAAGAGACAAAAAGAAAGTTAGTGCAGTTGCTTGTCACTTGTTGAGTGTCACTTGCCTGATACTTGCTGCCTTCTGCCTGCCCTGCTTTTCCATAGATTGTGTATCCTCTATGATGCCCCTCTGCCATGCCACCCTACTTTGGTATCGGGTTAAAAAACCCTTAGTTATTGTGGGCTGATCAGGCCAGCAATCTCACGTGCAAGTGGATGGCAAAGGCTTAAATAAATGAGACAATTTAAATTATTTCAGGGCTCCAAGAGGGACTAACTCTTTTACATCTTTGATGTTCTCTGGGTTTAGACCAAGACTTCTCTGGGCAGCCTGTATTTATTTGGTTTACAAACAAAAGAGGAGGATACTCAAGAAAATGCAAGAATCTAGCAGGACCGTGGGAGAGTTTTCCCAAGTAGTAAATTATGTCAGTCAGGACAGCTACCTTATCTTTTGGTTGACATTTATTGTAGGAGTGTGGAGCCTGCAGCTGCAGTCTCCTTGTAGTTAATTGGGGTTGGAGCCAGACATCCTCAGCTGTGGCCTTATCTTGTCCTTTGAGGCGTCACAGCTTCACAGGCCAATACAGGCCTCAGCGGTGACCAATGACTCATAGAGGTTCACTTACTATGGGTCACCTGCCCGTCTTTAGACAAGGTGCCTAAGCTTTGGACAATTCACAAGTAAACATGAAAAGCCAATCGGTTAATATTAAATCCTGCTCAGAGCCACTTTGTAGTGGTCTCCAACACTTGAAGCCACACAACTTTGAACTGAAACCTCTATACACTGTGAGCTCAATAACCTTTCCTGCTTAACTGTGGGAGTCAGGTATTTAGTCTCAGCAATGAGAAAAGTAACTAGGACAACTGTGCTACATGTTTACACACAACCCTGGTACATTGTCCATGTCCATCCATCCCTCTACTCTCCTGCCCCAAACGCTCTTTCCAGTCCTTAGTAAGTCTTCCACTACTTTCAGATCAGGAAGTTTGCTTGTTTCTTGTTCGTTTCCACATATGAGAGGCAAAATGTGATACATTTTTTTCTGTGGGTGGCTTGTTTTGTGTGTTTAGCATGATATCCTACAGTTCCGTCCATTTGCGTAGAAAGCACTGGATTTCATTCTTCCTTATAACTGCATAATGCTCATTAGTGTATCTGCATGCCATACTTTTTATCCATTCATATGCTGATGAGTACATATGTTAGCTATTGTGAGGAGTGCCACAGTAAATACCTTTTATTTGTGCTGCTATTTGTATTTTTTGTGTATTGACCTCGGTGCTTTGTTTGTTTTGCCACATACTGATTAGTATCAGAGCTGGGTCATATGGTAGTTCCAGTTTAATGTTTTGAACAGCCTCTATGCTGTTTTCTGTAGAGCTGCAGCAATTTACATTCCCACAAACACTATATAAACGTTCCTATGTTTCTGATCTCACCCTGCCATTTGCAAGTATTTTCTTGAGGATTTTGGAATTTATGTTCATCAGAGATATTAGTCCACATTCGTCCTTTGCCTTCTTTGTTCCCTTCTCCCTCCCTTTTTTCACACATCTTCTTTCTTTTCTTTTCTTTTCTTTTCTTTTTTTCTTGTTGTTTTCTTGATTTATCTTTAAAAGTTGGGGCACCAGAGTCATGATGAATTAATTTGGAGGGGTTCGCTATCTTTCAGTTCTATGGAATAGCCTGAGGAACATTAATGTAAGATTGTTTTTGAAAAAAAACATTTGGTAAAAGTCAGCAGTGATGCCATCTGATCCTGGGGTTTTCTTTGCTGGGAGAATTTTTATTACTGGCTCAGCCTCATTACTTGTTACTGAGATAAACAGGGTTTTTAAAAGAAATTTGATTCAATTTTGTAGGTCATGTGTGCCCCGAAATGCATCCATTTCTTATAAATAGTTTTTCAAAATAATCTCTAATGATTCTTTTAATGTTGAGGTATCCGTTGTAATTTTTTTCACCTCTGATTTTATTTATTTGGGTTCTCTCTGTCCTGTCCTCTCTCTTGCTCTCTCTGTCCCTCCCTTTCTCTCCCTCTCTCTGTCCCTGTCTCTCTCTCCTCCTCTCTCTCACACACATACTCTCTCTTGATTTGCTAATTTTGCTCACCTTTTCAAAGAACCAATTCTATTAGCTTGGTTCTTTGTATTATTCTTTTATTCTCTATTTCATTTATTTCTACTCTGAACTTTTTTTATTTCTTCTCTTCTACACATTTTGGTCTTAGTTTGTTTTTGTTGTTCTAAGATAGCATGATGCCTTGGTAGGTTGTTCAACAACTTTCTTTTCTTTATTTTTCCTTTTTTTCTGACCTTTTGAGCTTTTCTTTTTCAAGAGTTCTTATGGTTCATTGTCAAGATTTCTGTCTTTTTGCTGAATTTCTCACTAGCATTTTGCATGGTCTTCATTATTTCATGTAACTATATGTATAATCCTGGGTTTCACTGATCTTTTTCAAATCATTTTTAATTGTTTATCAGACATTACATCTACGTTAGTATCTTTGGAATCTGTTACCAGAGCTCTAAGAACTTTTGCCTGCATCACATTACTTTAGTTGTTTTTTCCGCATCTCCTGTGTTTCTATGAGCAGATTTGCACATCTGTTAAGATAAATATCTCTTCCAAATGTAATGGGCTGCTTTCTTTGTGGGTAGCATTCTTCTCACTAAGTATCTTGGTGTATCAGTTTGTGCAGTCACACATTAGTGTACAATTGTATGGTGGCCACTATAGCCTAATCTCTCTGTAGCTTCTTCATCTTGGTAATTTGCATATAGCACAATATCAGAGTCAGAGACCTACTGTCTCTGCTGGTCTCAGGAGAATGGGACACTAACAACTCTGACAAGCTTAGTATCAAGCAGAATATATAAGGTATACACCCTGTCATTTCTCTTCCAATGGAAGTGGTGGCCTCTGTCAGGCAGTGGAGTTCCCATAGATAGAACTGATATTGACCCTAGCACTTGAATGGGTTTCTATTACCGGCTGCTCCAGACACAAGGAGCAGTAGGGTATGAGAAGAACTTTTCTAATTTTAGGTACTCGGGTCAATCCAGAGCTTCATGGGAAAGGCAGGAACCACGATCACAGCGCCCCATCAGTGGCATCTCTATCCAGTATGTCAGTAATGCATGATCTGATGAAAAGGGGCTGCAGGGATACAGGGGAACTGCAGAGGTGCTAGCAAATGTTGCATGATTCATCTCTGCTGCTAAGGTAGGCTTGTCTGCCCAGGAATGGGACAGGAGACACCCCACAGGTACGCTCAAATTTGTAAGGGCTCGTGGCTAGGATTGTTTCTCTTTTTTATTCTTTAAACTGAAGTGTCCACCATGATTCATCTGCAAGGCAGTTGTGGCTGGAGTTGGACCGAATTCCTCTCAGCTGGGCTGGGCTGTAGCTCAGTAGAAAGTGCTTGAGGACTTGAGCACAACCACAGAAAAATGAAATAAACTGATAACCACAACAGGGCAGAAAACAGAAGAAAAACATACACAAAAAAAAAAAAACAAAATAAATAAAACCATAAAGAAACTCCAAGGATAACAGGATAGTGGCAAAAGAAAAAGGAGAAAACATCCAGTCAGGTTCTGTGCTTGAAAAGGTGTGCAAGACTTTATGCAAAGTTTCTTTCCAAATCTTCTTAGGCTGAGCACCCCGGTGACAAAGAGTTGACCAGAAGTCCTCAGACCTCAATTCTTTCAGTTAAGCAGCACTGAGTCACAGCTACATCTTGTTGAAATTCTTACCAGCGAAGGTGCTCAAGGGAACTGTGAAGAGCCAAATGTGGGTGGCAGTTGTCACGGTTTCTCTATGGAACTCTCAGATGATTTTTATATATCTCGTAAATTTAATAACTTGGAATGAAATCTTCCCACTGTAGAGTTCAATCTCTCACCACTTACAAGAAACCAGGCTTGCAGCCATGACAGAAGAAGGTAGTAGAGAAGCAGTTAGAGCCCATTCACAAAAGTAAACTCTCAAAACCCCAAGCAAA